ACTGCATCACCTGCTCCTTTCTGCACTCACCACCTCCCCCACCCCCACCCGCACTGCCCTAGTGAGGCCACTCATTCTCATTATTGCTAGGTGGGATGGTTCCTCACTAGGCGTAGGCAGAAACAGGCTTCGCTGATCCCTCCCTGGCTTTAAGTGGTAGGAGGGTCTCATTACTGCTCCTCATGCTGTTTGCATTGACTTACCTCCATGTATGGAAGAATGTTCCAGATCCCTACTCTATCTTCCATGACACTACCCCAGTGGGGAGGATGAGGGTTGTGGTGCCTCATTATAGACACACAGTTGTAGAAGTCTGGGCTCGCCACTCAGCCCTTGCTAGTGTGAGCAAGGGTGAGGCCACAGTTTTTCTCCATTTTTGGTTAGAGTATAGCGCCAATTTTTTAAAAGTGTCCCATTTTGCTAGGCTGTCTTTTGTCTGGAGAAAACAGGCTTTTTAATTTTTTTTTTTTTTTTTTTTTGGTTTGCACCCATTGGTGTCTCTGGGTTGCTGGCTTCTTCTGCTCCAAGTCTGGGATATACAAGGCAAAAAGAAAATCCAAAGAATATCACCAGGCCATTCCTTGTGTTCCAAGGTCTCTAGCAAATCTGCCTTTTTCTCCCCACCTTTCCAAGTTCTCGTGTGTTTGATTTATACATGCCTAGGGTTTTTAGTTGTATATATTGGAAGGAATAAAGACTATGTCTATTCCACCTTCCTGGAAGTGGAACTCCCTGCCTCTTCTTTTATATGCAAATTCAATGTATTGTTTTCTACTGTAGATAAATGTATAAGATAATTTAGTTTGCTTTGTAATTGAAAATAATAAGTAGAGGGTTGGAAAATAATCTTCAAACTCATGGAAGTCTGTCTGGTATCATCCTAAACTGCATCCCTTGCTCAGCTCTGAGGCTAGATTCTTTCCTTCTGAAGAAACAATTGACTAAAATAAAACTTCTAAAAGGAAAGGAAAAAGGCTTTATTGTAACCATCATTTGAGATGATTTTGGTTGCAGGTAACATAATATCTAAAGAAAAGTGGCTTTAACAATAAGGACATTATTATCTCATATAACAAGAAGTCCAGGGTTAACTTGATATCATCAAGAGCATAGGTTCTTTCATCTTTCGGCTCCTTCATCCTTCACAAGTTGGCTCTCATCTGTAGGCCTGGGCATTTATGGTTGCAAGGTAGCTGCCCCAGCTCCACACATCATACCCTCACAAAATTAAAGACAGGAAGGACTGTTCCTCTCTTTATTATTATTATTAGGAAGGAACTTTCACCAGAGTCCCCAGCCCGCTTCACCTTGGTTGTGTTTGGACCCTATGTTCAGATCACCCTAGTTTTAGGGAAGGTTGGAGAAGTGAAAATTTGGCATTTTCAGCTTCTACTAAGGGAGCTAGGATTTGCCAGCAGGGAGACTTGAACAGGGAATGACTTCTGGGTAATCAAATAACATGCTGTCCCATAACCCTTAACTGTTCTCATTTGTCCAATAAATAGGTGCCTAAGACCTCCTAAGAGTCCTGGTGGCACAGTGGTTAAAAGCTCAGCTGCTAACCAAAAGGTTAGCAGTTCAAATCCACCAGCAGCTCCTTGGAAACTCTATGGGGCAGTTCTACTCTGTCCGATAGGGTCGCTATGAGTCCTATGCAATGGCACGACAGCAAAGAGTAAGACCTCCTATGTTCTAGGAGCTGAGGATTCAGCACAAGCAAGTCTGACTGCACTCATGAAATGTAGAGAACAGCAGTGGGAGACAGCTTTTTGGGTTTGTAACACTAAATCAAGAAATACAGCATATGCCAAATTTTTTTAATGACAATCCCTCCCCTACCACCGAGGTACCTCTCTCCTTACTCTTAACGCCATGGATTAGTTTTGCCCTTTTTGGCCTTTTTTAAAATGGAGATATAATTCACATACCATACAATTACCCTTTTAAAGTGAACATCCAGTGGTGTTTTGTTATATTCAGAAACTTGTTCGACCATCACCACTATCCTTTTTTTTTTTAACTTTATATATGTTACTGTACAGTCTACACTTTTTCTCATTTGGCTTTGTTGGCTCTGCATTTTATTTGCGAGATTCATCCATGTCTTTGCATGTCACTTTAACTCGATTATTCTATTTGCTGGATAGGATCAATACCACCTTAGACTTGGACAGGAGGGCCTTTGCTCTGGTCAGCCTCCAGCCAGGCAAGGAGTTTATGCAGCCAAGGAGTCACACCCACCTGTAACCACTGCCCCTTCCCCTTACACAGCACAGAACCCACTGTAAGGGGTTTCTTCCCTTAGTCTGTTTTCCCTAAGGCAGACACCACCACCACTGTTCCAAGGAGAGGGAAGAGGAAACAGTTGCAAAGGCCTTCCGACAGGAGCATGTTTAGTGTGTTTGAGGAGCAGCAAAGAGGCGAGTGTAACTGGAGCGGATGAAGTGAGAGAAGAGGGGTAGGAGATAAAGGCAGAAAGGTCCACGAGAAGGGGCAGATTATAAGCCACTATAAAGACTTTGACTTGGACTTGGATGACATGAGAGACACTGAGAGCTTTGAGCAGAGGAGGGGCATGATCTGACTTAGGCTTTAAAATAATCACTTTGGCTTCTTGCGATTAGACTCCAGGTTTGCAAGGACAGAAGCAGATAGGCCAATGAGCAGGCCACTGCAGCGGCCCTGGTAAGAAATGGTGATGGCACAAACCAGATGATCTGGCAGAGAAGGTGGTGAGAAGTGGTTGGATTTCGGATACATTTTGAAGGTATAAAGGATTTGCTGATGGTCAGATGTGGGCTATGAAAGAAAAAGAGAAGTCAAGGATTACACCTAGGATTTGGCTGGAGCCAAATTTATGATACTATGATGGCTCCCCCACAGGGCCATGATAAAGAATAAAGAGGACGCCATGATAAGTAGGAGCCCTGGTGGCGCAGTGGTTAAGAGCTCAGCGGCTAACCAAAAAGTTGGCAGTTCAAATCCACCAGCTGCTCCTTGGAAACCTTGTGGGGCAGTTCTACTCTGTCCTATAGGGGTCACTGTGAGCTTGTAAACATAAGCACATGTAGGAATGTCAATGGAACTGTAAATGTTGAAACGACAGACGATGGCACTGATTGGTACTAAGAGGGTGTAGGGGCAGGAAGAAAGGGGATGGTTCCATCTCGCGCAGTTGTCACAGCTCTTTTTATTGTCAGCGGCTGCTGGTGGTGACGCTACCTTTTGGACTTACAGCCCAAGCAAATGTTTAATCCAAAGATTCGTCTTATCTCCCGGCTATACTTTTATGAAAGGGAGCTTACAGGTACTGAGGGTGGAGTACAAGATACTATTTTGAAAATAGGCACGAACTCAGCACATTACGCGGGCCCAAAAAGCGGTCTGCAAGCCCCACCGCTACCGGAGAGCCCATTTTAGGAAGGTATCCCCACTCTGGCGCCTGCGGCTCCTCCTGGGCGCGCGGGGGCGCTGTGGGTCGAGTCGGCGCTCTTTCTCAGCCTCTTTGGTTCAGACTGAGGCTTTCGGGACGGCGGTGGGAAGATGGCGCCCCTTAGGAAGCCGGGTGAAGCCGTGGAGGCAGAAGGCAGCGCAGGGCGCCGGGGGAGCTTGGGAGTGGAGGTGATGCTTTCCCCAGATCCCGCCGCCCCCGCTCCGCTGTGCCCACACGGTGGGTCCGAGTCTGGCCTCCGCCCGGTTGTTGTGTACCAGAGGAGTGGGCGGAGTTGGCCAGGAGTTGCCGGGGGTTTCAGGACTCCGAGATTTGTCTCTCTCCCTCTCCCCCACCTTGTGTGATGACTGGAAAACGCCCCTTCCTCGGGACGTTTAATTTTCAGCATTCTTGAGAAACCATCATAGAAAGTCCCCACTGTTGTGGTTTGGTTTCAGGGTTGTTGCAACTCTTTTTGGGGGGGTTGAGGGAGGACTGGAGCGGGGGAGGCGGACTGTAGGCAAAGGGGATGTATGGGACTAAATAAGCCTCGTTGCCAACTATTATGGGACTTCATTTGTTGTTGTGTTGTCTTTCAATAAAATAGTTAGGGAGAATGAAAGAATGAGTTCTTACCTGGAAACCAGACCCAGTTTTTCTCTAACCTTCGGGGAGAATGTGTTTTCCATTCTAAAAGCTTGAGTTTTCACTGAAAGGATAAAGGAGCGCGGGAGATGGCAAAGTGCTCAGTTTTGTGGACTCCCTCTTTGTTTTAATTTCAGGAGTCAGGCCTGTAACATCCACCACGTATGCAGCAGCTATACTGACTATAGCATTTTCTTTCTAGAGAGACCAATTTTCAAAGCTTAATATTTGTTTCTAGTAAGTAGGCAATGTCTGAATGTTGTGGCTGAGAAAAAAATTAAACAGTGGTGGCTATAATTATGACAAAACGTGTATAAAACCAAAACGAACTCTATTTAAGGATGGTGAAAACTAGGAACTTGATGTAGATAACTATTGTTTGACTTTTTTTTTTTTTTTTTTCTATTTCGGGCTAGGACCTACTCTTCTGTTTGTTAAGGTGAACCAAGGGAGAGAAGAAACAAGGAGATTTTATGCCTGCTCAGCCTGTAGAGACAGGAAAGACTGTAATTTTTTTCAATGGGAAGATGAAAAGGTATATCAACTTTTTGGATATAAATTTTTATTTTTGATGTATGTGATAATTGTATTGAGAATGTCCAAACCAATAAAAATGTTTGCAGTTTGAATATTACATGAGATAAATTGGCAAGAGAGATGGAGATGACAGTATTTTTTTGGTGTGAGAAATTGGAGTTTATATCTGAACTTAGCCACTCTGTGGGAGAAAGACCAGGCGATCTGCTTCCAAAAAGATCACAGCCAAAAAAACCCTATGGAACAATTCTACTTTGTTACATGGGGTCACTGTGTCGAAAATGACTCCACGGCACCTAACAACAACAACAACTTGGATTATTGGTGTCTTGAACTACTGTCTCAAAAAAACTTAGTTTCTCTTAAGACTCCAAGGTGTTAGTTTTGGGAGGGCTTATCCTCTATTTGCAAATGCCGATTTCTCCTTAAACAGTCTAGTTCATGATCACTTCCAGGAAGTATTAGGAAAGTACTTTGTCTGAACATCTGGATTAAACATCCTTTATACAGCTACTGGTTGACCCTATGAAGGCAATTGGAGGTACAGTTATGAGCTTGGTATGTATCCTGGTTTCAGCTGCAATTACAGTTTCTGAAATGTTTTCACTAGAGAATTTTTAGCTTTGTTAGGTTTATTGGAAAAGAAACTTGTTCACGACTCTCCTGCAGATCCCTTAACATCACCATGAAAGTTAAATCCCAGTGCTTTAGCATGTTGAGTATTGCTTAAAACAGCCCTAGAATTCCCAGTTTCCTGTGCTTTGTTTTCCCCTAAAATGAATGCTTGCTTACAACATTGAGCTACTTGAATTTCTAACTCCTTGATGTCAGAATGTAACACCAGTTTTTTTAGGATGCTGGCAAGTTCGATAGTTTATTAAATGAACTTTGTACTGTTTTTCAGTTGTCAGGAGCTAGACTTGCTGCCCGAGAAGCTCATAACCAAAGATGTCAGCCTCCCCTAACTCGAATGCAGTGTGTGGAAAGGTACTGATGCGGTGTCATTTTTCTTTATTGTTGTAGCTGTAATGTTTCTTTTTTGAAATACTGAAAGAACCAAAAGATTTAAAAAAGCTCTAAGCACCTGTTTTTTAAAAATCTACATTGTTAAAATGTTTTATTGGATTATTGGACTTAAGTCATAGATTTACTTCTTTGGCAAACCTGTAGAAAGAATTCATCCCTTTAGCAGACAGTGAGTTAACTTCTACTGAAGAAGCCCCAGTCTGGGATGCATATGACAAATAGATTTTCACTCTGATCTTTTCAGGCTACCTGGGCTCTGTGTTCAGAAGGATTCTGAGACCTTATCCTTGCTTAGTGGAAAGGGAGTGCTTAGATCTATTAAAAATGTCTTTTTGGAGCTTCTTTATAGATTTTTAAAGTTCTTTGGAGGAGGCTTTTCTGAAGATAATTTGATTTTCCCTAAACTACTGTACTTAATCATAGATGTCTACTTATTGTATTGGATTTAGTCAACAAAAAGTATTGAAAAGGGAATTAATGTATACTGAGCACTACTGTGAGGTAGGCATTGTGCTGGGTGTTTTACAAGTGCTATTAATTAATCCTGCAGAGGTGGTTTACTTAGATGAGGAAATTAAGAATTGGAGAAGTTAAGTAACGTCATCAAGTTCACACTATTAGAATGACTAAGCTGTGATTCAATGTCTGATTTTAAGATGTTGTTTTTAAACATAAGATAGTAATTAATATATGAAGTGCAGTGGTTTAATTTAAGGCGGTAAAACAGAAGGCATTTGTCTTAGTTATCTAGTGCTGTTATAACAGAAATATCACAAATGGGTGGCTTTAACAAGTAGAAATTTATTTTCTCACAGTTTAGGAGACTAGAAGTCTGAATTCTAGGTGCCCGCTCTAGAAGAGTGTTTCTCTTTCGGCTCTGGAGGAAGGTCCTTGTCTCTTCAGAGCTTCTGCTTCTGAGCAATCTCCATATTGCTTGGCATCTCTCTTCTTCCATGTCTGCTTCCTCCTTTATATCTTGTATGAGATTGACTCAAGACACACCCTGTACTAATTCTGCCTCATTAGCATAACCAGACAACTCATTCCAAACGGGATTATAACCACAGACAGAAGTTAGGATTTATAACACATATTTTTGGGGGATACAATTCAACCCATAACAACATTATAGAGATATACCATAATGAGATTACTGTAATGAGATAAAATGGAATATTGAAGACGCAGAAAGTAAAATGTAGAAAATATCTCCCCAGGGTTTCTCCATTTGAACACATCACCTTACTGATTTTATAGTATTTCCTCCGGGCCTTTTTTTCTATTCTAAGGTTTACTTTACAAGGTTGTAGTCATATACATAGTTTTGTACTTTGCTGTTATCACTTACTTTTATCTGACAAGCATGTTTTTTATGTTAATACTTAAGGGTATTGAGATTTAGTTAAACTCTGTGACAAAATCTAGGTGATCTTGTTGTTTCTCTGTATCATGAATTTTTGGCCTAGAGCTAAACCACTGTTCTTGTCTTTTTATTGTGAGAGTATGTGTTTTTGATAAAGAAATGCATACTTCATATTAATTAGAACATACAAGCAGTATTCTGGCTAAAATAATGAAGTAATTAAAGAAGTCCCAAAATGTTATTTCTTGGGAGCCATTGTTAATTGTTTTTGTTAGGTGCCATCAAATTGGTTCCAACTCATAGCAACCCTGTGTACAATAGAACGAAACATTGCCCGGTCCTGTGCTATCCTCATAATCGTTACGTTTGAGCCCATTGTTGCAGCCACTGTGTCAGTCCATCTCGTCGAGGATCTTCCTTTCTTTCTCTGACCCTCTACTTTACCAAGCATGATGTCCATCTCCAGGAACTGATCCCTCATGATACCATGTCCAAAGTATGTGAGACGTGGTTCATCTGTTTTCTTGTGCTGGTCCTTAAGAGTGTGTCTTAATAAATTGATTTTCAACATCTTAAATAATCTGGTCGATAACCTTGGATTTTGCTGCCAGAAGCCTCCATCTAATCACCCATCCATCTAGTCATTTATTCATTCACCAAATATTTGTTGAAGACTCAAAAAGAACTTAAAATGGTAGTAATGGAGTTGAGAGATATACAGAGATTCTAAATGCGAAGAAGAATGTGTTAAATGCCGTCGGTATCCATAGAAGAGACTAAGCGTTCAGGGAAGTCAGAGCTAATTTGTGCCTTGGTTGAACAACACAGGCGTTGTGTAAACACATGGTCTGCGAACAGGTTTTGGAGGATGGGTAGAAGTGTAAGCTTATGAAATGGAATATTATTGCTATCACTGCATCACTTTATAATTGATGCTCCTAAAAAAAAAAAAAAAAAAAAACTAAACCCATTGCTGTCTAGTCAGTTCCATCTCATGGTGACTCCATGTGTTACAGAGTAGAACTGCTCCATGGGATTTTCTTGGCTGTAATCTTCATGGAAGCAGATTGCCAGGCCTTTCTTTTGTGGTGCTATTGGGTGGCTTTGAATCGTCAAACCTATAGGTTGGTAGTTGAGTGCAAACTGTTTACGCTACTCAGGGACCAGTTGATGTTCCCAGGCTTTATATTATGCTTAGGGCCCTGGTGGCGTAATCGTAAAGCATTTAGCTGCTAACCAAAAGGTTGGCAGTTTTGCTCTGTGTGTAGGTTGCTATGAGTCAGAGTTGACTCGACAGCAATGGGTTATGGAGTAAAAAAGTTTGAAATCTGTCATTCCTCTAAAGATTTTGGTGCCTTAAGATAAGGAAGTTTTATTAAAATTTTGGCTTTTTTAAGTTCATAGTTTTAATAAATTACCTATTCTCTTAGTGTGTCTTCAGCTTGGGACTCGTAATGAACCTAAGGGTGATGTACTATTACATGAGATCATATTTATTTATTTATTTTGAGGTCGTAATTATTTTAACTTGGATAATTCAACTTTTTATAACTCATCTATGAGTTAACTTATTAAAAAATTATTGTATTTGAAAGTAAGAAAATGCATTTAACCTTTACACCTATTTTATAAAGTAAACTTTTTTTCTGTTACTGTGGAGTTACAGTAGTTTTTCATTGTTTCATGTATTTTTTAAGTCATTAGAAAGGAGTGATGGTAGCTAGCAAGATAAATTGGCCTTTATTACCTGATTTTTACTCTGGCACTAGCAGTGCTGCACAGGATCTACAGGTTCTACAGAATAGGATTGGAAAGTCATTTTTCTAATCTTCTCATGGTTTGAACCATGTTTTATGTGTCAGACGTGTTCAGTTGACAGATTTATACTTTATGACAGATTTGCCTTGCCTTATCCTTTTTAGCTGCTTCTTATGTCCTAAAAAGTGTTATTATTCTGTTATGTAGTATGTTGGCATCCTTCTTGTGACCTATGGAGTTTTAGGGAAAATCTGTTTGAATGCTACAATCAGTATTAATTTGTGTGCATCCAGATAGGGTTTAGTTGTTATTTCATTTGGTTGTGTTTTTTCAGGGCCCATTTAAACTCAGATTTTCAAGGTCTGCTGTTGGGGAAATGCCATAAACATAATTTGTCTACTCCAGGAAAGGCAAATGGAATATCATATGCAGATCAATAAAAATGACATTTCAGAATGCTAGCCTGCAATTTGTGAATCATGCTGAGCCATGGAGCAGAATGAAGTTTTTCTCCCCCTGGGTATATGTAGTAAATAGAATAAGGAGGGAGTGCTAAGTAGTCGGTAGCTCTTTATATTCTCATATTTTCTACCAAACATTAATCTTGTGTCTGAATGTTAAATTTAAAGCAGTATTGTTGAGTGATTATTATGATTATGAATATAAAAAAATATACACAAGATCTTAGTTTATCTTTTATTAAGAAGTAATAAACTAGCAATAAAGCTTTCTGAAAGACAATTTGGAAATACTTAAAAGAAAGAGGTACTCGACAAGTCATGAAGATGCATCATACAAGTAGATGTTCACTTAGCAGTGTTCTTCCTTTCCTTCTTTTAAAAACAATTAAACTTCATGCCTTTAGATAGTCCTGTGTGGTAGACAGATTGTCACACTGGCCCCTCATTTCTTTGAAATTTCATCTCTTGCTAGGATCTTGCATCATCTCTTCGTTGTATTGTTTGCTGTATAATACCAAAAACAAACTAAACTCATTGCCGTCCAGTTGATTCTGACTCATAGCGACCCTATAAGACAGTAGAACTGCCCCATAGGGTTTCCAAGGAGCGGCTGGTGGATTCCAACTGCTGACCTTTTTTTTTTTAATTTTTTTTTATTTTGTTGTACTTCAGGTGAAGGCTTACAGAACAACTAGTTTCTCATGAAACAGTAGTACACATGTTGTTTTATGACATTGGTTAACAAC